ACTGAGAAGCAATGTTTTAACTTGTTCTTGTGGGCAAGAACTACCAATTATGACTGCATGACTCTCCCATCCCACCCAATGGGGCAGTTATGCATGTACCACCAGCGGTTCAGGGCCACTTTCAGGGAGACACACAAATTAGAGTCGTGTTGTGAATGTGCTAAATTAATTAGAGGTATTCTGGTTAGAGGTCTCTATTGCTCATATAATTTGCCTCTCCAGCACTCTCTAGGTACTTACTTTGCCTTATTATTATTTCTCTAGTACTTTTATTATCTTTCAAAATAAAATTCATTCATTGTTTTTTCTGTATTGTTTTTTTTAGATTACAAGATTTGGGAGAACAAGTATGCACTTACTTATGCTCAATGTTTTATTCCCAGAACCTAGGGCAGCATCTGTCACATTCTAAATATTGAATGAATCATACAATGCTGTTATCTTTGTATATGTTACCTAAAATCTTATAATATCACCAATAGAAAGAAGAATGATATTGTATATTCATTAGATTCCTACATTATACCTGTTCAAAACTTTTTCCATATTTGTGCTTTGCTTTTTATTATTAATTATTAGTAGATGTGCTAATTGTGTTTACTTGAATATCAAATATTATAAATATCAAATAATGTTTAAAAGTACTGACTTTTGTTTACCTACTAATAAATGATGTGATCTATGTCCTAGTTATAAATTATTAGCCAGTATATTGCCTCAAATGACAGGGTTAAGGGTCATGATATTTTCAACTTCTACCTTTTTGGATAAGCTGTATCATTTTTCTTATATACTTTCCAATTGCCGAATATCAAATACTGTCTGAAGAATGTTTCTATTGTTTTGTACATCAATTTGCAAAATACAAATTGCTTCCCACATGATTGATATATTTAGGGACAAATCTAAGTCTAGCATGGATTTTGTGTTTCTTCTCCATGATTTCTTAGATGAGTATAGAAAATTACATCTAGCTGAATCAACACACACACACACACACACACACATACACACACACATATCTCTGAAATATCTATCAGCTACCTTCAGACCTTGTTCATTCAGAATTATAACTTTCTATGCTTTACGGATGTTCGCCTACTGTTTTAAAACTCTCAACTATAATTCTTCCACAGGAAATTTGAACAAGCAACAAATCTTTCTCAATACCATATTTTTAATTATTTAACATGTACAAAAGATACAATTTCAATTTGGTTCTTATATTTTTAATGAGTCATTTACATTTTACATTTTTACTGGCAGTATTGTGGGCCTAGAGCCTAGGTCACTGCACATGCTAGACAGGATTTCTACCATTGAAATATACTCACTAGCCATTTTACTTTTGTTTGGAGATAGTGTCTCCCAAAGTTATTCAGACTAGCCTTAAACCTGTATTTCTCCTACCTGAAGTTTCCAACTATACCTGAAGTTTCCTACTATAGCTGGGGTTATAGTATATCACATTATATGTATTGATCATTAATTATCTTTAAAAATATATATGTATATCATATATATATACAGCAAAAACTTTATGATATGTATCTGCTTCATATGTATGATATAATATATATTACATATGATATATATATTATACATGATAGAGATGTGTGTGTGTATCTATAGTAGATTCTTCAAACAAGTACCCATATACAATATGTTTGACACATATAATTATTAGGTTAGTGACTGTGGGAATAAATAAGCTCTGTAAGCTTTTGGAGACTCTGTTTAATCCTAATTCATACTATTTTATTTATTTCATATTCAAATGATTTGTTTCATAATGTTTATCATGAATGATATTGACATATACAAATTGAGTACTTTTGATGGCATAATACCAAATCAAATAAAAAGGAAGTACTGCACACTCCTTTTTAAGCACATCCTAAGAATGTTAAATTTGATGTGGAGAAAGAATGTAAACAGAAGAGAAGATGATGAAATGCATCTGGAAATACCTGAGGGAGATAATTTTGAAACTCATGTTAGATTGTGAGATTTGCCTCAATTGACAGAGCAGAAAGGAGGTTATTTTTGCAGGGTATACTAGTATATAAAGTCACAGTAGTGTACAACACAATATGGGTACAAAAGATTGCAGGATAGAAGAGTAGATATTTTTTCCCTTTTTGAAATCAATCGGCCAAAAACTGTATCCCATATGCTCATCTAACCAAATCAAGAGGGCTTATGGGTGACGAATTTATTTTCTGAGCTTGTATGGATTTTATAGGACAAAGGCTCCCTGCCCTCCTTTCTTTCTTCCTTTTTTCCTGCCGTGCCTGCTTCCCTTTCTTCCCTTTCCCTTCCCTCTCCCTCCCTCCCTTCTTTCATTCGTTCCTTCCTCCTTTCTTTCTTCCTTCCTTCATACATTGGGTGCCTAAGAATTCTGTAGTTACATAAATTAATTGACTACTTGGATAAAGGGAAGGGAATGTAGAAATAATATTTCAAAGTAAAATATCAATTTTCATTTTAGTCATGCAGCAAGTATGGAAAATATGTCATTTAAAAATAACAGTTTAAAGCACAAATTTGCTTGGTTAATTGATTTAAGAGAAGTATATTAATTATTTTTCTCTGTTATTAATTTTAAAAGTTTATTCAGTGTGCTAATTTTTTGAGAGTGTCATAGCTGTCAATTATTTCAGTTTCATTTTACCAAATGCCTAGTAACATTTAATTTTTACTTTGTAATGCATATTTTTTCCTTGCTAAGTGCATATTTTTCTGATAATGCTACAAGCTTATGATTTTGTTTTATTGGAGAGCTCTTTTTTCTTTCTTCAGTGTGATGACTCTAATGGAGTGGAATTTTGACTTAAACATTGTGTTTCTTGGGTGAAAAAGATTATCAGACGGTGCAGGAAGGAGCTCAACACTCTTCCTGAGGCCTTTGAATTCTTCAAATTACTGAGAAGGTACCTTCTAAGGACTAATGGGCATAATATTCAATATCTATTTTGTTTTATCTGCTTTTGAAAGCAAATAGCATATTCAGTACAAGAATGTTTTGACATTCAAAATATTTTGTCAATATTTCTTCAGTTTTTAATAATAGAAAAACATTGGTGCCAGAAGACATTTGGAGAAACATTCTTTTAAATTGGTACTATTCAGTCGAAGAATTAGATGCAATGAGCTTTATTTTATAGTTAGTCCTTACACTAAAATACTGACTGTTATATTTGATTTGGGAGGAAATATTTTCAGTTATAAGAGTGTTATGTGGCATTTCTGGTGAACTTTGCATATATGGTTTTTGAAGATGTTAAAATATATAAACCAACTTCTGCAGTATCTCTTCTAACATTTGTCCTCTTTTAATGGACTTCTTGTCTCTCTTAGTGGCATGATACTGTCAGGTTGTTGAGATCAAACCCACAGTATTGGTTATTTCCTTGTGAGATCTCCCCAGATAACATATATATTGAACTTGTTTCCATTATGAACTAGTGTGTGTTTCCTGTAGATGTTAATGTTTCTGTCTCTTGATGCAAGATGTTTGAGTATGTCTTGTATAAACAGACAATAAATGTTTGATGAATTATTATAGAACTCCATGAATGAATGATTCCATTCTATTTCTCATATCTGAGCTTCAGTGACTTGATTTCATTTTGGATATAGCTATCCATCACAAATCCTTCATTGCCATGGCTGCAAAGCTATCTTAGGTCTTCATGAGGCACTACCTGAAGACTCTCATGAGGCTTACTTCATTTTTACCCTCTCATCCATTTCCTATTATATTTACAATTATTTTTAAAGTATTCTTGCTGACAAACCGAATTTGCCATTCACTTGCCCAAATAACTTCCTTGTTCTAATTCTATACGGGGCAACATATATAATGTTGATATCTTTAACATTTTATCTAGGGTTTTCCATAGTCTGGTCTCAGATTTTAAATCATTCAGATGGTATCACACTCAAATAAAAATTATTGTTAATTTCTTCCTTGTTGTAGTTTCACTTTTATGAGTATCTGGAATATTGTCTTTACTTTCTGCTCTATATGTAACACACATATCAACCTATATCAATTGTAATTTTCTTGTATAAATACTTTTAAAAAATTGTCTTAGAAAAAATGATTTCTCCCAACTTTGCTACCTCATTAAACCTTCTCCATATTTTTCTTACTTATAGGCTCTTCAAGACAGAGACAATGATTTATATATCTGTGACTCTTCTACAGATCTAAACATGATTCTTAATAGATCTGTTTAGTAGATATCTACATTATTAGAGTGTCTTAATATTACTAAGCTTGACATAGTGACATACACAAAAAGGCAGGATGTGAAATGTCTTATTTAAGAAAACCTGATTTTCAATTTATTCAACTGTACAGTGAGTTATATGTTTGAAATTTAGGAAGAATAAATGAACACCAAATGATACAAAACTAGTGAGAAATGTGGATGATTTCATGGGGAGGTGAATTTTGATCGTGCTTTTGAAGAATGCATCACATAAAATTTAGAAATCTGGATTTATAGGAAAAACAGCCTGTAGGTTGAAGCTGTAGAAGTTTAAATTACTTAACTTGAGGTTCTGTCTTGTAATCTGTAAAAGAAATTCACATTTACCCTACTTGCTTCACTTTTCCTTGTTTCCATAAGTAAATTTCATTGTAACATAGATAAATCCACTTGTTTATCTTTCATCTACACCTGCTTTTGTAATAACATAAGAAAGGTGGGTGGTTGGAAGAGAAGCATATATACTTTGAAGTATAAAGTATTTACTATGTGGTCTTTTCAAGTTTGCACACCTACAGTATAAAAAGAGATAACTCAAAATGCAGTCTAATGAAGAAGCAAGCTTTTATGGTTAGTAAAAAATCGATTTAATTGATGTGTCACCAATGTGAATGTATATATCATCATCAGGTATGTCAGATCATGATAGACACCTTTATATCACAATAATAAAACACTAAAGTTAACCAGTTTAAATAAGAAAGGGTTAATTTGGCTCACCATTTTATAGTTTTCAGTCCATGATTGGGCAGACTTACTGCTGTTAATCTCCTGGTGGGGACTCTGGGCAGCAATGGCAGGGAGCATGTGGAGGAGCAAACTGATTCCGTCCTGTCTAGGAGACAGTAGGAAGGAAAAGGAAAGGGTGAGAGGCTCGTAACCCTCTCTGAAGACACAGCCTGAATGACCGAGGCCCTCCTGGAAGTGTTCATCTTCCGGAGGTTCCAGCACCACCACAGAACAAGACTTCAACACACAGTCTTTGTGGTACATTCAAGGTCCAAGATTTGTTCCTCTTAAAGATTCTTTATATTATTCATGCAAGTCTCATGCTTTTAAGGTATAAAGAATTATTTTGGTTGTAAACATGAACTATTGCACATAACTTTATGACAGTTCTGTAGAAAACTTTCCTTCTCTAAAGAAAAATCTTTTGCCAAGAGTTCTACATTATTGAGACATTCTGTTTTATAAACTTGGTGAATGAAGAGGTGAAATCTCATTCCAAATGTGCTGTTCACTGATTATTGTGGCCTTTTCTCATAGTGGCGTGAGCAGAGACACCCAATCTTTCATTTCTCTTTCTTTTTCTACTCTAGATAGACTCTGCTGGTCAATTGAACTGAAAGTGATGATGTGATAGTGTTCAAAATAATGTTTCTGCTCTGTTAACACAGAAAATCTCTGTGTGTCTGATATTTTATCAGGATTTCCTAGAAAATGCTTTTTAGGACTTGCTCTATTGTTTGCTTTAGAATTTTTCTTTATCAGAGAAGGAAAAATAAAATTATATTCATACCATAATTCTACTTACCATCCTGTTAGCCCTTCTTTATATGCCTTAAAGATGCTGCATGTTGGTTCTGCATGTTTATAACACCACATTTTATTATTTTTCAATTTTATATTAATGGGATCATACCAAGCATGCATGTTTGCAACTGCATTTTAAAATGAACATTATTTTCTATATCTTCCTTTATTAAAATGTTTAAATATAGTTCATTGTTATTCTCCAGAATTAAAATAGCCAACACTATTCTAGGAATTGATTTTCAGAAATATTATATATCTTATTTTGATTGATTTTACATAGATAAATAATTCTTTCAGTAACTCACTGCATTTTTCATTCTTCTACTAAAAAAAGAGTTAGATTGGTCCAAGTATTTTGTCCTATGCAAATTCACACAATGGATATCTTTGTATATTACTTCTTTGTGTATCACTAAAGTTTACTTAAAGAAGAATTGTGTGAAGAGTGTGTGCTCTCTTAAATGACTTAATATTCCCGAATTGCTTTTTTAGGTTGTTGTTCATCAGAATTGCATAAAAGTGACTTTCCCTACAGTCTTGTTAAAATTTTTAGTTCCTTTATTGTCAATAAAATAGGTTTTAAAAGTATTGACTATCTCTTCTTACATAAATTATCATTTTATAACCTTTTGTTCAGTTCATCTGTTATCTTTTTCCAACTGGTAATGCGAAATCTTAAAAAACTCTATATACTAATTTATTTTCAGTTATTTATTTGTAGAGAAATAAATGGAAATGGAAACATTTGACCATTTTAGAACCACAAAAATACTGCAACTACCAAATATAAGAACAACACATCTTTCCTAGTCTATGGACTATGAAATAAATTTTCATAGGGAACCAGTATCCTCATGCACAAGATAAGAGGCACTGAATTGCAATCTCTGAATAAAGAGAAATCATGTATAAAACCTATATTTATATTGGCTCCCTGGGAACCATTTCTAAATTGCAGTACAGAAAGGAAAAATTCAAAGCATAATTTTCTTTCTGAGGTCAGAAGACAGAGATTAGAATCCCTATTAAAGTGCATGTGATCTGATAAGTAAATTAAAGGAACTCAGTTAGCATTTTGAAATTTCTACGAAGTCACCATGACATAACATAACACTAATTCTAGATACAGATTTAAGGAAATCAGTAACTAGTTGTTTAGGAGGAAAAATGAACATTCTGCAGAATGCAGTCTATATAATGTTTCAATTATTTCCCAAATAGAGTATAAATTATGCTAGTATTCAAAGAAGTAATACATTCTGACTCATTGTCAAGAAAAAAATAATAGAGAGAACAGAAACAAATTCCAAGGTGAACTAAACGTTAAACCGAGAAGACAAATTTTAAAACAATATTAAAACACATTCAAAGTATAATCTCAGTGAATAATATGTATTAAACCTTAGCAAAGAAACAGAAGTTATTAAATGCAACAAAATGAGATACTAGATGAGGTACAATAACAAGTAGAAAGATTGCAATAGGCTTCATAGCATATTGTAATAAACTTCTTAAAAATCATAGTTAACTCAAAATATAAATCAAAAGGCATATTTCAATGAAGTAACTTTATTTATTTAATAATCCAATAAGTGATACACTCAGAAGAATAACAAATACAAGATGGAAGAAACAAAACAAAACTAGCCTTATTACATGAAAATTACTTTACATTTATATGGACTAAACATTCTAGTTTTAAGCAGAAATCATCAGTCAGAAAAAAGTATAACAGTATGACATATATTAGAGATGTACATTAAAAACAGAGTTGAGATTAAGGAAAGCGAAGATACTCATCTAAACATTAAACACTGAAAGAAGATATAGCTTTATTAAAACTAGGCAAGGTACTAGGACACAAATGCTATCAGAGGTAAAGAAGGACCTTTCACATACTACAGAATGTGTCAAAGAGACTTACTACTCCTATATTTAAACCTGATGAATGTATAACAATGTATGAAGTAAAAATTAATACACTTCATCCAAACAAATGATGGAGAAATTTACATTCATGGATGAGCATTTTAAGATATTTTCACAGTATTTGATAAGACAAGAAAGCAAAAGTCAGTAAAAATCTGGACCAAAGCTGTCAACTTGTTCATTTGATAGTTAATCCCTATGTCCAACATATGTAAAACATACACTCTTTTCAAATGCACTTCAATGTTTATCAAGACAGATCATATATTGGACTATAAAACAATTCTTAATCTATTTCATGCCATCTAAATATGTCAGGGTAACTCCTCTGACAAAATAAATTAAATTAACAATACTTAATGAAACTAGAACATTCTCCAATGTTTGAAAATTATATATTCCATGATAATAAAACTTATAGGGCAAGAAAGAAAACATTTTCGATAAGTAACCAGAAAATACATATGTTCTTATTATTATCATCATCATTATTATATAAGATTATCTAGTATTAGTAAATCTTTTAAGGTGCTTATTATACTCACATTGATCTATAGGTTGAATGCATAAGAATCCAAACCTAAACAGATTGTTGTTGCTGTTGTAGAATCTAATTAGTAAATGAAGAATTTATTTGGAAATGCAAAGATTCTGGAACAATTCAATAGTTTTTTTTTGAAAGATCACATTTAGAAGACACACCATCTAATTCAAGACCTACTGCAAGTACAAAGGTACACAGATCACAACAGTAATATCAACATCAGTATAAGCACATAAGCCAGTGGGGTAAATTGGAGAAACCAGAAACCAACCGCCTACATTAATCTTTTTCAAAAAATGTTTCAAAATGAATAGAATTTCAATTAAAGAACAACTGGATGTAAGTATGGGAAAAATGAGCTTATTTCTTAGCTTATGAAGAATTAATGAAAACATGTGGACCTATGTGTGGCATTTAAAATGAAAACTGCCAGAAAGAGAATAGAATAGCTTTGTGATTTTAGGTTAAGCAAATATTTCTTAACTGTACATAAAGAGCACAATAAAAAATTGGTCAACTGAATTGCATGAACTTCAAATATACCCTTAAATATTTCAGAAAAATAAATAAGTAGCAAAGAAAATGGCAAAATATTTTCTACATATAGGAGAGATGATCAAATTATATGGTGAATGTTTAAATTTTAAACAGTTGTTACAAAAAATACACAATGGCATTAAACCCACTCAAAATAATTCCCTTTTCTGTGAATACAGTTCTCCATCGTTTTGCTACTGAAAAGCAGTTCTGAAAGTCCTGGTTTATACCTTTATGGTTGAAACAAACACAAAACAATGAATGCTGCTTCTCCCGGTGCCATCTAATGTAAAGTCAAACTCATAAAAACTATGTTACATGCTCAGTCACCTTATTTGCTGGATCTGGTACTTTGTGACTTCAGGATCTTCCCCAAAGTCAAAATGCTCACAAAAAGTAAATATTTTGAAACTGTTCAGGTCACTGGGGCAGCCAATATAGTACAACTGAAGACAGTCAGAACTTTTTCTACAACTGCTTCAGAAAGTGGCCAGAACAATTAGGTAAGTGTGTTTGAAGCCAGAGGGAGCATTCACTTTGGGGCCAGTGCATGGTAACGGTGGAGGAATTAGGGACAATGTATCTTTTACTGTGATAAATTTTTAGAATTTACTTACCTTATATTCTGTTCACACCTTGTCTATGTAAATTGACTTATACCTATAATATATAAAGGACTCAAATAAGCAAACTTTTTAAATGAATATGAAAGACTGATACTTCACTGAAGAAATTATGTAGGTGACTAAGAAGCATATTGAAAGGTGCTTAGGCTTACTGATCCTTAAGGAAATTCAACATTAAAACTATCTGAGAAAATGCATATGTTAATTAGGTAATTTAGTCATTCTGCAATGAATATAAACATCAAACAATTATTTTGTATATAATAAATACCTATGATTTTATCTGCCAACTTAAAAATGATACTGTGTTGAGTTCACTTGAAGTATAAAAATTAAAAAGTAAAACAATGTCAATATAGAATGTTTACAAGGATGTGGTTCAGTTGGAGGATTTGTGCATTGAAGTTATAAATGTAAAATATTACTACTTTGGAAAACTGTTTTGATTTCTAATAAAGTTAAATATTTACCTACCTGCTTTAGGAGCCAGCAATTCAACTCCTGCACACTTGAAAATGATTAACATATTTTGCTCTTGATATTTATACATTGGAGAAAATCTAATGTTGTCTATAGATAATTGAAGAAACACATTGTAGTTTATTCATACAATGAAAAAATTGGTTGTGTACTTTAATAGTATGCAACATGGAAAGTAATTTCCTAAGAGGATGAAGGAGTTTTCTGAAATGATGCTAATTTTCCATATCATGACTGAAATAATAATTACAAAGGTATATATTTATTAATAGTTATTAAATATAAAATGCAAATTTAAAACATATTTACTTTATAAATAATATATTCAAATGATTAAAATAAAGAAATAGAGAAAACTAAAAACTTATTGTTATAAACTAAAGAAATTGCATCAATGAAAAATAAGCCTATGTTATGTTTGAAAATTAAATGAAATGTTATGCATGAAAATGTATCCATATTGTAGAGATAGAGAGAGAGAATGAAGGTGCTGTTTGAAAAATAAAATTATAAAATCTCCTTGGTTTAAAATTGCAGACTCCTTTCCATTTAATGAATTTAAATACTTTAAAAAAGACTGAGATAAATAATAATGAAACTTGAAAATCTAGTCAATATAAAAATCTGATTGTTAGAAGTGGTTCTAGAGAAAGAATAAATGGGAAAGAGGGAAATATTTAAGTAAATAACTCAAAATGATTCTTGCTATCATCATAAAAGACAAATAACTTTTATGAATTCTCTCATTGTAGATAGGTACAAAAGCTGTATAAAATGAAATTTAAAAAAAACAGAATTAAAATAAGAAAACCTGCTTGAAAGCAACAAAGAACTAACAGGATAAGGAAAATTCCTTCTGTCAGTTAAATATAGAAGGAACTCTTATATTCAATAGATTCATCTGAGCAAAAAAGAGCAATAAATCATTGTACTCAAATATATATTCTTAATACTGAGCCAACGGATTCATGAATAAAATGATGATTTGTTAGCAAGTCCTTGACTTGAAATAGAATATTATTGAGATGAATTTAGAGACATGATTTAAACAAGTTTGTATTTGGGAGTTATTTTTATAAGAATTGGAAAAATGTTGTGTATGCACATATAAACTCCTAAGAAGTAACTTCACTGCACTTCAAAGCTATTTGGTGACAAGTGGCAGTATCAAATATTTTCAAATATGATATATATATATATATATATATATATATATATATATATATTTGCAATAGTGTCTTTGAAAAAGTTGCTAAGGTGAAATAGTGGGACTAACTTTGTATTAATTATACATTTCCTAAGTTTGAAAAATGACTATGGATTAGGACTAGAGAAGGAATATTTATGTTTAAAGAAAACAGCACTTTTACTGAAACTATCTCTGACTCCAAGCTGAAGCAATTTGAAGCAGTCTGTTTGAAGAGTGTCTTCAGTGGAAGAACCTAATTTCCTGATTATGTTCGTTTTCAGTGAACAAAAACGTCTCAAGGAGAGGATGATATATTTCTAAAATGAAATAAAAGTAACAAAGAAAAGTTGGATCAATTACTGTAGGGAATATTAGAAAATGTTCCGTAGGGAATATCTTTATAATTAAGTTTTCATCAAAGGTATAATGCATATATTTTTGAATTTATCATCTTTCTTTGAAGGGTGTATATCCTATTCTCAAAATTACCATGGATTTATAAGCCAGGGATAATCCATTGTATTAATATGTGATGAATGTCACATTTTTATCCCAAAGTGTAATTTTTCCTCATAGTCACAAGAAATCAGTCCCATCTTCTTTTTTGCATCTATGCCATCAAACAAATTCAGAGATGTTCTATAATCAAGCAACTTCACTCAGTCTTTCCATTTGTCTATTTACCTAGTTCTCTTATATTCATTATGGGATATGGGTGATACTTAATAACTAGCATTGTCCATTAAAGAGAAAGGATGATATTTATCAAAATGAAGGTAGGCTGTTGCTAGGTGGTCTTCTATGTCGGAAACCACAGCTAAAACAGATATGCTGACTAATATACCCTTATAATAAGTAGAAATTATTTTCTGATCTTGTATTTTTAAAACATTTCCCCCCAAAAGGATTAAGTGTCATTGATTTGCCATTAATTTACTTTTTTTCAGTTCCTTCATGCATCCACTCAAGGTAACAGATAATTAATGTCTACTATCTATTGATAACTTAGTTTTAAATGACACCAGAAAGTTAAAATACTGCAATTATATAACATATGCATTTATACAGTAAGATCTATTCTCTTAATAGGGATTGTTATGAATCCCAGTTATCAGTATGAATACTCTATTGGAATTACAAAGTGGCTCTCCAGTTTGTAGACATCAGATTAGGGGACTGCTCCACCCCCATTAGTCCTGTGAAACAAACTTCTCAGCAGTTATTTTTTCTCTCTCTCTGTTTGTAGGTTTTTATATGTATACCCACATTTTTACAGTATATATATGTATATTGCTAAAAGTAATAGTTCCAAAATAGATAATAACCTAAAGAGCAAATGGGAAAATTCTCTAGTTGGTGCAGAAATTTGGCAAAATGAAGAAATATTAAAATTTTTCTTTTCCATCAGTATCATTAATGTGTAGTCCGTAAGAACATTGCTTAACTATAAGGCTTTATATCTGAACACCCATTTCTTTGATAATAGGAATTTTTGAAAGTACTAGCTGTACAAAAGTGAATTTATTTAGATGAATAATTTTTGCAGTTTAGGTATTAAGGCTTAATGAGGCATGGGCTATAAAATGGAGAATACTTTAAAATTTCTACTTACAATTATTTAGCTGGTTGAAAATACAAAATTCCTGCTGGGATAGTTATTAAGTTATTGTCTTTAGGCTGGAAACACACCTTCGGTATGCTTTATTATTCCGTGGCTGGGGCTCTTCAAATTATATTCTTTCTTTATGAGAGACTGTTAATACCACTAGCATATACTGGAAGGAAGATAACATTGACAGAAGAAAAAGAAAAAATTGGTACTAATTTGGTTTTTTCTCTTAAATCATCTCAGAAAGAGACCATTTTATGAAGAGGAGCTAGTGGTTTCAGGTTTATTTTCTGTCCCTTTCATTGCAGATTCAGGTTGAAATAGCTTTCATAGGTACTAGTGAGCCCAGGGCCAGGCACTCACTCCCACACTTCTGGCTTCCCATTTTCCAGACTCCTCCTGCATTATCCCTGTCCTACAGAAGGAACCTATGACTCAAGGTTTCCTTTCTTTGTTTTAGCCTTTTATGATGTTTTAAAATTAATTATTTTTTTTTGCATCAGGTAGTACACATTTGAAATGATCTGTTATACATAATGTGGCCTCTGTGCAAATTACTACTATGGTTTATATTACTCTGGTTGTACACTGATCAACAGAATTTCATTCTAGTTAGCTAAACAAGTGGACTGATATATAGTATTTATTGTGTGTATGATTAAATTCAGGCTTTCTGTTAAAATGTAGAAAGCTGGAAATAATTGCTTCCACTATTGTAACAACAAAAACAAGGACAATGAATTTCTGTATGACGGCAAAATATGATTTCTTAGTTTATCTCCATACTCTTTCTCATGAAAATATATTTTGTATGGACAAAAATTCATTTATGAGAGTTCAAGAATCCATATAAGGGTTTATCACATAGATGGAGATCAGAAATGAGAAAAATACATTAAGAAGGTTTAGAAGAAAAGTTCTCTGTACTCATCTTATCCCTCCTTGAATCTCGCATAGTAGGGTGTTAAGAGAGATTTCCTCAGTGACTAAGTTTTCTCATGAAGGATAGAGAAAATGAAGTGTTGTGTAACTTCTCCAGAATTTCAGGGCACTACCTGAGAGGCCCACACCTGGAACACTGAGGGAATGATTAGCACCAAGTTGTCTTAGGCTTCCTGAGATAAAGGAAAGGAGGTGGGTAGGGATTCTCCATAGTCAGTGTGCAGATGTCAACTGCGAACATGGGCTGCCTACCAGAGTCTGGAACAAGCCTGCCACCCTGAGAGCATCCACAATGTTTCCACCTCTCTAAGAACCTCAATACTGAGCTTCCCCACTTACAGTGCTCACATACTTGACTCCATAGAATCTGTAGCTAGGATGACTAGTCTTTTGGACGCTCTCAGTAAAGTCCAGGGAGAGAACTGCTTCTTCAGACGTCCTACAAGGACCACGAAAAATTAGGAGAACATGATGACACCATGGATAAGTTCCAGCAATGGGTACTTAAGAAATGAAGATTAATAAACTACCTGAAAAAAAGTTCAAACTAAATGTAATGAAAAGATCAGTGAATTATAAAAGCACAAAACAGATAACTAAACAAAATTAAAACAATCTCAACAGTCAAATTTTGAGCTCATGTGAGTAGTGGCCACAAGACAATCAACTAACTTACAATACAAGACAGATGAGTGCCTTGAGGGGATGGCATGAATGCCCATGCTTACTTGACGAAGATCTTCTGAACTGTGAAGGAAGATTCAACCAATATGTTTAGCGTATACTTAAGATATTTTGGGGGTAAAAGGGCTAT